CAAATAGGTAAAGAAACTGTCAAAATATCCCTATTTGCAGATGACATGATCCTATACCTTAAAGACCCAAAAAACTCTACTCAGAAGCTTCTAGACATCATCAATAGCTATAGCAAGGTAGCAGGATATAAAATCAACATAGAAAAATCATTAGCATTTCTATACACTAACAATGAGCAAACGGAAAAAGAATGTATGAAAACAATTCCATTTACAATAGCCTCAAAAAAAATCAAATACCTAGGTGTAAACCTAACAAAAGATGTGAAAGACCTCTACAAGGAAAACTATACACTTCTGAAGAAAGAGATTGAGGAAGACTATAGAAAGTGGAGAGATCTCCCATGCTCATGGATTGGTAGAATCAACATAGTAAAAATGTCGATACTCCCAAAAGTAATCTACATGTTTAATGCAATTCCCATCAAAATTCCAATGACATTCATTAAAGAGATTGAAAAATCTACTGTTAAATTTATATGGAAACACAAGAGGCCACGAATAGCCAAGGCAATACTCAGTCAAAAGAACAATGCAGGAGGTATCACAATACCTGACTTCAAACTATATTACAAAGCAATAACAATAAAAACAGCATGGTACTGGCACAAAAACAGACATGAAGACCAGTGGAACAGAATAGAGGACCCAGATATGAAGCCACACAACTATAACCAACTTATCTTTGACAAAGGAGCTAAAAATATACGATGGAGAAATAGCAGCCTCTTCAACAAAAACTGCTGGGAAAACTGGTTAGCAGTCTGCAAAAAACTGAAACTAGATCCATGTATATCACCCTATACCAAGATTAACTCAAAATGGATCAAGGATCTTAATATCAGACCCCAAACTCTAAGTTGATACAAGAAAGAGTAGGAAATACTCTGGAGTTAGTAGGTATAGGTAAGAACTTTCTCAATGAAACCCCAGCAGCACAGCAACTAAGAGATAGCATAGATAAATGGGACCTCATAAAACTAAAAAGCTTCTGTTCATCAAAAGAAATGGTCTCTAAACTGAAGAGAACACCCACAGAGTGGGAGAAAATATTTGCCAACTATACATCAGACAAAGGACTGATAACCAGAATATACAGGGAACTTAAAAAACTAAATTCTCCCAAAACTAATGAACCAATAAAGAAATGGGCAAGTGAACTAAACAGAACTTTCTCAAAAGAAGAAATTCAAATGGCCAAAAAACACATGAAAAAATGCTCACCATCTCTAGCAATAAAGGAAATGCAAATTAAAACCACTAAGATTCCACCTCACCCCTGTTAGAATAGCCATCATCAGCAACACCACCAACAACAGGTGTTGGCGAGGATGCGGGGAAAAAGGAACCCTCTTACACTGTTGGTGGGAATGTAGACTAGTACAACCACTCTGGAAAAAAATTTGGAGGCTACTTAAAAAGCTGGACATCGATCTACCATTTGATCCAGCAATACCACTCTTGGGGATATACCCAAAAGACTGTTACTCCAGAGGCACCTGCACACCCATGTTTATTGTGGCACTATTCACAATAGCCAAGTTATGGAAACAGCCAAGATGCCCCAGCACTGACGAATGGATTAAGAAAATGTGGTATCTATACACAATGGAATTTTATGCAGCCATGAAGAAGAACGAAATGTTATCATTCGCTGGTAAATGGATGGAATTGGAGAACATCATTCTGAGTGAGGTTAGCCTGGCCAAAAGACCAAAAATCGTATGTTCTCCCTCATATGTGGACATTAGATCAAGGGCAAACACAACAAGGGGATTGGACTATGAGCACATGATAAAAGCGAGAGCACACAAGGGAGGGGTGAGGATAGGTAAGACACCTAAAAAACTAGCTAGCATTTGTTGCCCTTAACGCAGAGAAACTAAAGCAGATACCTTAAAGCAACTGAGGCCAATAGGAAAAGGGGACCAGGAACTAGAGAAAAGGTTAGATCAAAAAGAATTAACCTAGAAGGTAACACCCACGCACAGGAAATCAATGTGAGTCAATGCCCTGTATAGCTATCCTTATCTCAACCAGCAAAAACCCTTGTTCCTTCCTATTATTGCTTATACTCTCTCTATAACAAAATTAGAAATAAGGGCAAAATAGTTTCTGCTGGGTATAGTGGGGGGGGAGAGGGAGGGGTCGGAGTGGGTGGTAAGGGAGGGGGTGGGGTCAGGGGGGAGAAATGAACCAAGCCTTGTATGCACAATATGAATAATAAAAGAAAAAGGAAAAAAAAAAAGACATTGAAAAAAAAAAAGAAAACTTCTTCAAATGACATTTTCTAGTTAAATTTTATTAGAAGCAGCAACAAGGTAAGTTCTAGTTTGTTAAGCAAAATTTTCTATGAACAACTGCAGTACCAATCATCTCCCTATCTAAAACTAATATTTACTATGTGAGAGGCAGCATGTAGGGAAGGGGTATGAACTTGTAGCATAATAACTGTGATTTTTCCATTCTCAAGTGAAATTTTATTAAATATGAAACATTATAAATTGAGATATTATGAAGTACATGTAGAATCCTGTGTGTGTGTGTGTGTGTGTGTGTGTGTGGTGTGTGTGTGTGTGTAAGGGATTCTGAAACTAGGAACTATTTTTATAATAGCAGGTTCACTACATATCTGTCTGTAAAGATTTTTCAGTCTGGGTCATATTTCTGGAGACTCAAAGTAAATCTATCCTTATATGCCTTGGCTTTCAGTCTTTTCTCACTTTTTAGTCACTGAATGACTGACTGCCTAATGAAACTCCTCTCCCAGATGGCCCATGTGGGGAGGGTCAAACCTTCAGTAGCCAAGTGCAATCTCCCCAGAGTGAATATGCAAATGAGAAAGTGCACCTATGGGAAGGAAAAGTCACAACAAATAAGTCAAGTAACATTTCTTCTCAGCGATGCCAAACTTATAACACTAAAAAATATTCTACTCATTCAAAATTGGAAAATTATTAATGAGTGAGCATTGGAAGTCTAAAGAATGACTTTTAGAAATGTGTATGTGTCAGTTCTACACTTCAAATGCAGTGTTGCAACACAGACAACACACACAGCATTTTAAAGGAGTAATTCCAAGATAATCAAGAAGAAACAAATAAAAACAAGCATTGTGAAAGCAGAAAAAATAATCAAAGCAATATTGGTTTGGACATCTTATATTTTTAATTTGGCTTTTTGAAAATGTATCACATTCACATAGCTCAACATTTTAAAAAATTAAAATTTGAAACAGAAATGTTTCATCCCTCCCCACCTTCTGTCTTCCATCTGCTTAGGATTTCTGGGTGATTTCCACTTCTTGTCTAGCTCCAGTGAAACCCTGTGACATTATTGGGTAAAATAGAATGTAAAGAAACAGATGTGTAAGAACACACATACATGTAGGAATTTAATGCATAGTATAGAGGACTTTGCAAATATGAGTAGATGATTGATTATTCAGTAAAAACACTTGAGTCAAATGATTTTATATGTAGAAAAGAAGTAAAGGATGCTGGGAAAACTGGATATCCACATGTGCAAAATTAAAAGTAGATCCCTATCTCTCACCCTGTACAAAAACCATCTCAAAATGAATCAAAGACCTTAATGTAAGATCTGAAACTTTGAAACTACTAGGAGAAAATGGGAAAAACACGTCAAGATAATAGCATAGGCAATGATTTCCTGAATAGGAGGTCTCTAATAGCTCAGGAAATAAAAGCAAGAATTGACATATGGGATTACATAAAATTAAAAACTTCTGCACAGCAAAGAAAACAATCAATGGAGTGAAGAAATAGCCTTAATAATGGGAGAAAACCTTTGCCAGTCATTCATCTGGCAGAGGACTAATATCCCTAATAAATAAAGAATTCCAAAACTCTTAACAACAAAAGCACAAGTAATCAAATCAATAAATGGGCAAATGGTCTGAACAAACACTTCTCTAAAGTACAATAAATATATTTTAAAATGCTCAGAATCTTTAGCAATCAGAAAAATGCAAATCAAAGCTACATTGAGATTCCATCTTACCCCAGTCAGAATGGCCAAGAAGAACAAAATAAAATAACATATAGTGGCAAGAATACGGGGGAAAGGGAACTTGTGCACTATTGGAGGAACTGATATTAACACAATCACTATGAAAGTTCCTTAAAAAGCTAAAACTAGAACTACCATATGATTCAGCTCTACTACGCCTGGGTAGATACCCAAAGGAAATCAAGTGTCTGAGTTTATTGCTGCACCATTCACAGTAGCTAAACTATGGAATAAGCCTTGGTGCCCATCCACAAATGAATGGATAAAAAAACATGGTGTATATACATAGTGTACTGTTACAGAAAAATGAAGTGATGTCATTTGGAGGAAAATGGCTAGAACTAGAGGTCATGATGTTAACTGGAATAAACCAGATGAAGAAAGACAATTATCATGTTTTCTGTCATATGTGGAAACTTGGAGGAAAAAAAACCAAAGATGACGTGGAAGTAGTAAAGAGACTCGTTAGAATGGTGGGGGGAGTAGTTGGGAGGATACAGATAATCAAAGGGCAATGTATGCATATATGGAATGTAATAGTGAAATTTATTAATACATACAATTACTATGCATTAATAATTATAGTAATGAAAAAGGACAAACACCTCCAAGAAAAGAAAAAAAAAGAAACTGTGCAAAATATGGGTATTTTCAATCACCCTGGGAGCCTGTATCATGTTAACATTTCCCTACACCTGGCTCTGGTGAAGAGTAGGCAAATATGGGATCTGCAGTAGAGACAGGTGTCATTGAACTGAGAGTGATTTGCATGTCAAGGGAGATCACAGTTACTCTTATTTCAAATGGTGATGAACTGGGGCCTTGCTGGTAGCTGGGCTTTTGCATGAATCCAGGGAGAGGAGTTTCTGAGTCTCAGCAGAGTGGTTTGACTGGAGATGCGGGTTTCCCTGCAGACTTGTCCCAGCACTCTGGAGTAGGTTCCAGTTTAAGCAGATCCAGTAGAGAAAATGCCCTCTTCACCTACACTGATCTTCATGGCAATCTTTTTGCTGGAGTCACTGGCTGCTATGTTACAGAACGGTTTCATAATCACCGTACTGGGCAAGCAGTGGGTACGGTGCCGGACACTCCCCACAGGTGACATGATTGTGATCTGTCTCGCTGCCTCCCGGTTCTGCCTGCATGGGATAAGCATCCTGACCAACTTCCTGGCCTCCTCGTATTTGTGTTACAAAACTCTTTATTTAAACATCTTCTGGGACTTTAGCAACACTCTCATTTTCTGGCTTACCACCTGGCTTGCCATCTTCTACTGTGTGAAGATATCCTCCTTCTCCCATCCTGTCTTCTTATGGCTGAAGTGGAGGATCACTTGGTTAGTACCCAAGATGCTGCTGAGCTCCTTGATCTTCAGCAGCCTGTCAGCCACCTCATCAGCCACTCTGCATGTAATTGTCACTCGGAGGATCATCTCCGATGGAAACTGCACGCTTACTCATGCAACACATATGTTCTATTGGCACTACTATCGCTCTCATGCAATGCTGGTGTGGTTTGCTCCACTCTTCCTGTTCTTCCTGGCCATCGTCTTGCTCATGTTCTCACTGTATTGGCATGTGGCACACATGAAGAACCACAGGTTGGGGCCTCGTGACCCCAGCACCCAGGCTCACACCAGGGCTCTGAAGTCACTTGTGCTCTTCTTTATCTTCTACACGTGGTATTCCCTGTGCTTGATAATTCATACTATAAAAATCCCAACCATCCAGGATGCCTGGCACTGGGCCAAGGAGGTGATCACCTATGCGGGCATCTGCCTGCACTCCACCATCCTGATGCTAAGCAGCCCCAAGCTGAGAAAAGCCCTGAAGATGAGAGTCTCAGGCCTGTGTTCTGCTAACTCGTAGGACTTTGAAGTCCCTGGACAAAACATGGCTCCAATCTCAAGTTTCCAGTATCAGGAATGAGTATGGTGATGAATAATCCCCTGCATGGCAAGAATTCATAAAGTTTGGGTTCTCTCTCTTTTCACTTCCTTCTTTCTTTCCCACTCCTTCCATGCCCCATTAATTCCTTTTCCATTTCTATGTTCATATTTTCCCCTCCTCTGCTGCTAGCTCTTTATCTGAATCCCAAATCACCTTGACTTAAGCTGATGACCCCATTTCCTCACAGGCCTCTCTGTCTATGCAAACAACTGTAATATTCTTGAAGCATTATTTTGATCTGTACTCCCTTTATTAAGATCTGTAACCACCATCAATTGTTTCCATAGCAAACTAAATGTGTTGCTCTTTAGTGGCGTAGTTCCCCAATACCACCCACCTTGGGACCCCAGCTGCACTCCTCAGCCACTGTCCTCAGCTCAGTCTCCCTTCTTTCTATTCCCACATGTTCTCCACTCTACCTTCCATTCATTGGTCCATGAAAGAACTGGAGTTTCCCTCTTCCTTCTTTCTTTTCCTGCCAATCATTGCCAGCCTCATCTTTTGTGCCCTGCTTAAGATTGATTCTACCACAGAAACTTTGATTCCATGGAAGGCTAGGGACATGAAAAATGTGTGTCATTACAGGTCCTATCTACAACTTCATCATATGTTGAATTAATTACATATCAGTTACCTGATATGGAAATGTTCAAATGTTCCTAGGTTTGGGCAACAGAAGACAGATGGAGAACAAAAAATTCTTGACAATTTTTAATTTTGGTAATCCTGTTCCTTTTGTCCACTCACCCAGGAACAGCCTGGATGCCATGGCACAGATGGAAGTCTCCAGACTGGAGCTTATGCAAGATGACCCACTGGGAGTGGGAAGAAAAGTGTAGCAACTTCAATTTCCATTTCTTTTTATCTCCTTAAATTTCCTATTTTTTCATGTCTTTTATGATATACATGATGTGTTAGTAAAGGAATACATGTGTATAGTTAATATAAATCAGCATGCCGTATTTTCTTAGGCAGCTCCATCTGCTGTGACACAAAAGAAAGTTGGAATTAACATGTTATTATAAAAGTTATTTTCAAAACAAAGACTATTACCACTGAAAGTAAGTGGTTATCTTTCACAATGATAAAGGGATCAGTTTATCAAGGGCACATAACCTTTTTTATTTTTTTAGTGGTACTGGGTTTTGAACTCAGGGCCTCATCATGCTTGCTAGGCAGGTGCTCTGTCACTTGAGCCACTCCATCAGCTCAAGAGGACATAACCTTAAATGTGCATGTATCTAATATTAGAGCTTCAAAATAGCTGAAGCAAAATTGGTAGAACTTCAAGGAGAAATAGGAAAGTCCATAATTATAATCAGCCATTTAACAGGGAGACAGAAAATCAGCAATGATATTAAAAAACTTAAATAATACTATTTGGCCTAATTCATAATAATACTGTTTGACCTAATACTATTTGACCAATTTAACCTAATTCATATCTATAGAATGTTCCAACCAACAATAGCAAATACACTTTTTTCCATCAGTAGATCATATTCTGGCTCCAAAACAAGTATCAATAAATTTAAAATTTAAAATGTTCTCTGATCTCACAGACTAAAACTAGAAATCAGTAGTAGAAAAATAGCTTTAAAAATCCTCAAATACTTAGAATTTAAGTAATACATGTATAAACAATCCTCTGATCAAAGTTGTCAAAATGGAATTAAGAAAATATTGCTAGATGAGTGAAAATGAAAAGAAAACAATACAATGTGTGGGGTGATGCCAAAGCAGAAATCAGAGGGGAATCTGCAACTCTAAATGTCAGCATTCAAAAAGAAGTTGGGGCATGGCTAACAAACCCCAGTACTGCCCAAAAGAAAAAAAAAAAAATAGGTCTCAAATTCCACCTCAATAAAATAGAAAAGCAATAGCAAAAGAATCAATTAACCAAAATCTGGTTCTTTGAAATCAATAAAATTGATAATCCTCTGGCCACATTGCTCAGGGGAAACAAGAGAAAGAAAACACAAATTACCAAGGTCAGGAAGGAGAAAAGTGATATTACTACAAAATCTAAACATGTTAAAAGGAAAACAATGGAACATGGTGAACAACTTCATGCTAATAAATTCGACAACTTAGGTGAAACACATTTAGTTTTACTTCTTTTTAGTGGTATTGGGGTTTGAACTCAGGGTCTCACACTTGCTAGGCAGGCGTTGCACCACTTGAGCCATTCCACCAACCCTTTTTTTGTGTGTGTTGACAATTTTGAGATAGGCTCTTGCAAACTATTTTGCCCAGGCTGGCCTTGAACCATGATCCTCCCAATCTCTGTCTCCCAAATAGCTAGGATTGCAGGCATGAGACACCGGCAACTGGGAAACACATTTAGTTTTTTGTTTTCATTTTTTCTTTAAGGTGTGCCTTCTGGAGACTCTGGTCTTGCTCTGATCTAGATGGGTTGCTCCCTGGAGTTGCTGCATAGCTGTTGTCTTGGGAATTCTTTTCAACACCCATGGAAGCATTAGGTCTTCTTTTGTGCTCCTTCCTTTTCCCTGCATGCTATCATCCAATGTTGTTTTTGTTCTTGTTGTTTCTCTAGTTTTTCATTTATTATCTTTTAAAAAGATGTATGAAAAGTAAATTTCTCAAAACTGATGTTTTTGGATATACCCTGTTCTAGTCTGAACCTTGATTTATCATTTTCCTGGGTATTTTAGGTAGAGATATCTATTTTGATTTTTCTTAGCTCTTACATACACACACACACACACACACACACACACACACACAAAAGCATTTTACCTTCCTTCAGTCTGCTAAGTGAGTTATCACTCTTCAACATTTTCCCAACTGCTTTTGGCAATCTTCCTGATGACATTATGGACTTATAATTCTTATTCATAAACTTAATTTTGTGAGAGTTTTATAAGATATATGAATAAAAAGAAAATGAAAAATATAATCAGTAACACTTAATTACCAATCCATAAGTCCTCTTTCTGCCTTTACTTCATATTCTGGTGAACAGCCCTAACCTATAATGGTTGGCAGTAGGCAAAAATTTGCAACAGTGGATGTGCTTCCAAATTCCAAAGAATAGAAAAAGCACCACTGGTACAGTTGCTTTAGGTAACTTGAAGGAAATGTTTGAAGTAATAAGGGCATATATCAGAATATAATTAGGAATTAATAGAAATTCCTTGTCATCATGAAGGTTACCATAAATGTCATTCCAGCCTAGGAGGATGAACACCAATCTAGTGATTATGACTTCACAAAAATTATCTCCACATTTCTGTTAAAACTTTATGAAATATTAAAAGAAGGGAAATCAGTGGCCAATGTGTGAGAGCTGAAGTTCACTCTCATTAAAATTATCCTATAGTAACAATATGCATAATGCTATTTCAATTTGCAGGGCCTTTTTTTTCTTTTTGTACAGGGGTTTGAACTCAGGGCTTCAGGCTTTCAAGGCAGGCACTACACCACCTGAGCCAGACCTCTAGCCCTTTTGGCTGTGGTTATATGGCGATGGAGTCTTGCTTTTTCCCTGGGTGGGCCTGGTCTGTGGTCCTCCTATTTTATGCTTATTGCCATCTCTGGGAAGACCAGCACTGCCACCAAGCCCAGCTGTTTTTTTTCCTGTTCAAACTTTTTGCCTGGGCTGATCTAGAACCATGACCCTCCTGATACAGCTAACCAAATAACTTGAGGTAATAGACATGCACCTTCCCACCCAGCTATTGATTGAGATGAGGGTCTCATAAACTTTTCCCATTCTGGCCTCAAACCACCATCCAGTCTCCCAAGTACCTAGGATTACAAGTGTAAGCCACTGGTGCCTGGCTTGCAGTCCCAATTCCATCTCATTTTACACTAGACATGTCATGTTTGTACTGAAAAAGAAGTGTAGAAGGAGTTGTGTTCTTCATGCAGGGGGATGGATAAGCTCCTAAGGGATCTAAATAAAAGTCTCCCCACAAAGTTATCATAAATTTTACGAAGAACACTAGGATATTTCCTATTATATGGTAATCAATCAACTGGAACTTATTTCATTAATACATATTACCATTAGAATTTTCAATGATACAATTAGCAGTTTATATGTATCTAGGATGGAGATGTGAATGAAATACAAAATTTATTCCCTTCTGTTGAGCTCTGCTGAGGATACAGTAAACTACAAACTTCTACAACATCCAAAAAGAAATAAAATGTATTCAAAATATGTTCTTGGGAGATTTTTTCAATTTTGGCAACCCAGTAAACTCATGACCATCTAGCCAAAGAGCTTCTCTTCCCTGTGGGAAGACATGTGTTCTGCAGCTGGGTTTGTTGGCCTCATCCCCCCTCAATTCCAGCTCTCAACCACAAGGATAGATTCCAAATTCAGGTCTGGCACACAGAGAGGCCCATCACCACAACCACAAACATTGCTGCAGACTTGAGAACCTGACTTAGGCAGACCAATTAGTGACCTCCAAGGGAGGTTCTATCAGACATGGCTTTCCTTTCGCTTATATTCCAAGATACTGAGCTGGACATAAGTCTGTCACCGATGCAGGAGCAGAAGAAAAACAGGGTCCTGAAACATGATTTATACTCCAAGATGGTGAAATTGATGATGACAATGATGAAGATTAGGACAACACTGATATGACTAACACTATAAGCCAGGCACTCTTCTAAACCTAACCTGTATAAATTCATTTCATCCTTACAATAAACCTACAAGGCAAATGTGATTTTCCCAGCTTTGCAGATGAGGAAACTGAAGTACAGAACGGTTTAGTAACTCACCTGCCATTTTACAGACAGTACTTGGAAAGGCTAGAGTGGGAACCTCAGACATTTTCATCTAGAGATGTTCATTACACTGTATTTATTACCTTACGTGACTACACTTTTCATTTTTATGAAACACAATTTTCTTTTTAATTAAAGTTGTTTGAAGTAGA